CACTAGGCGATGATACAAAAGCGTCAAAGCTCTATCACAACAAACCGCAGCATTGGTTTTCACTCTTACGTCAAAGACGAATGATTAATAGGGTTAGATTATGCGTTCTCTCAGTCATATACCGAGTGTGTCAGACTTTTTCGACTATTGTACCGATGCATAGATCGACCACGGTTATTTATTTCTCCAAAACCTGTAGAATTATTACAATTTCAACGGTATGAGAATGAACGATGGGCTGGGAGAATGGCACCATCAAGTGAATGCCAATATCTTAACTATAAGTCTAAATTTGTATCTGGTTCTTGAAGAATTGAAAAGAAGATTACTCTTTCAATATGGCTACTCTTAAACAAATAAGACAACAAAAAAAACAAAACTTCCTGTAGGAAACAGTACATCGTGCGCAATCGAAGAATCATAGATTTGATGAATCGATATTGTCATGGTTCCCTGTCAGTGAGCGACTATATCATGAGAATGAGCAAGAAGTTTGGGGAGAATGTGGCATTGATTGTAATATTGGCAGTTTGTAAAGAACTGAATTTTTTTTCTTTTCAGCTGCTTGAACCAGTTGTTCATATGATGTTGCTCTGTGGTATGGCCTATCTTGGTACATTCCAGTGAATGAAACTAATTGGTGAGAATAGTATGCTATGCAAGAAAAAATTTTCAAAACTCTCAATCGATTGCGAAAAATGTGTTGACCAAGCGAAAGGGTGTGGGTATGGGTGTGTTTACCCGCTTTCTGTTGTCTCATGCACACTCGGACACTCACAAGCACACCCACACCCAATATCAAGTTACATATATATGTGAGCGTGTGATTTTCTCATAAGTTCTCATCTAAATTTAAAAGGACCAAGGGTTTTCATCCGTTCACCTCATATACTGCGAACTCTGATCATGTAGATACTTGACAATAGGTCTATCTGTTGAACTTCCGTGTATACGAACACTTCTTGCCTTATCGATCCCCACTACTGCAGTTGAATAAATATTAATGCAACAAAGCCTTACAAGTTCAAATATCAATCCAGTGAAAGCAGTGGCGTATCCAGGATTTTTTAGGCACTGAGCAACACTCTGCCAGAGCTTTCTCGAGGCCCGAGTAATTATGGGTAATTCAAATGGACACTGGTTTAATATTGCTTGGCTAAGTTTTGCCTTATCGTCGTACTTGACTTCTTAACATTTTGTCACTGCTAAGCTTTCCTTGTTAGCTTTCAAAATATCCCTTTACACTACCAGAAATCACCAAGAGTTAGTTGTATTTTTCTGGAGAGAAACTTGATTTTCTTAACCCAAAAGATGTAAGAGTCACTGTACGAGAGCTATCACTAACTTTGCGCAATTTAAGATGTCCCAGCTTTGATGGAATCCTCTGACAGTTTCAAATTATTAGTCGTCGAAAAAAAAAATATTCTGCGAATTCATTTTGGCTAGACCGAAGAAAGCCTACCTCAAAATAAATTGCCAACAGCTCCCCATGTAATTGTTTGAAGTAGAGTTTATTCAGCCTGGCTCAATCGAATTCGCTGAAACTTTTTCCAAAAGACTAACCACCCAGGACTATATGAGGGCCTAAACAATACTTTTGCATCTAGAATTGTGAAAATTTAGTCGTGGATTTCATGAAATGATTCGTCTTGGCTGTCTAAGGAGCTGTCCGAGAATAAAGTGAACTCTGAGTGTGAGGAGAGAAGTTACGAGTTGATCACATGTTTCTATGGGCTTCCACTAAAAAGTATCTGCAACGAGAGAAGAAAAGTTCAAAATAGCCTAAAAACTATCCACGTGGTGCCGAACAGCTCGTTAGTAAAAACCGTTCGAAAGATGCTAATAACTTGGCTAGGATACATCTGCAAAAGCTAAAACTTCGGTTCTGTGTCTAAAACAGCATCGTCGACAAGATGAAATATGTTTCATACGGATTCATGACTATGATTGCACATCTCTCTGTGACGCTGGATTTTGTCTCTTCTGCAATGATTTCGAAGACAACAATTGAAAGGAATAATTTCTGTAGATGTTTATATTTTGCAAGAGTGTCTTGTCAAAAAAGAGTGGAATCATGCCAGAGGAAGCCAATTCTGGTGTCATCGAATTGGCGATCATGAAAACAATATCGCAAACAGGTTTCAATAGTGTTTTCTCTTCTTCGTGGACATGTTCATGACGTGTTTTATTGAACGAGCGAGCAATTGTATCTCTGACATGAATGAAAAACTTGCTGTTTAAGAATTCGATGTTATTGAGATAATGTCTGTAATGATGATACATGAGATTAATTGATGTCGACATCAGTCGTGCTCGAACTCCAGAATAAGTTCTGTTTCATTGTCTATTGTCATAGATCCTGTTAGCAGTTTCGTACACATCGTCCCAATGCTCTCGGATCGTAGTAATCGAGGCTGGTGTTGATTTCTCCGGTAACAACCGCAAGTGAATTGTGGTATCGATTAATGGATGCATTTTTCTGAACTATTTCTTGTTCGAATTGTGTACTAGCATGAAGTTGCTTGATTACGACTTATTTATAAACCTGTAGTTGACAAAATTTTTCATTTTTTTCTTTCATCAATTCACGCTTGTATTAACAATGGTAATGTCGACAATGCAATTAAAAAACATGTCTTGAAGAGACTACATCTCAAAAGAGCATGGCATTGTATTGCTCGTTGAGGCTTTCCTTATTTTGTGTAACAAATAAAAGCGAGAAAGTTGAATTGGATGATGTAGTATATATCACGATTGATGAGAAATGGAAAACACTGTCGTTTGGCCAGCGTGTCTTCGACATTGTACAGTGTTCACTGCCTCTAAAGCATCCTCATCTTGAATTATTTAGAAGAAATCTCGAGAAAGGATGAGAAATCATAATCAATTTATCGCAAGATAGAATAAACAATTTCAAGATGTAAATTGACTGCAGAACTTTACATATGGTGGTATACTCTTTCTTCAATCAGTTCGTAACAGAGGATATTGTCCTCAGCGCGAAGACTTTATAATAAATAACTAGGCAAAGTCGAAAAATCATATTTAACTTCATGATCAGATCAATAACAGCGAGTCACTGCTCAAAATGACGAAGGTGAGAAGAGACAACAGCAATTTGATCAACTTGCTTTAATCATTTTGGTTGTTACTCTAAACAGTCACGTCTTAAAAGCTTTATTTTGCTGTGACGACAAAGATACGGTTGTATGGTTATCAAGCCACACTCATTCAGTGTTGCTTCGTCTCAGTAGTGACTGTACCTAGCTTTTTCTAAATTCGGAATAAACCAACTGCCGACAATCAACGAAATGCGCCATTCATCGATTACTTTTTGTATTTTTTTTTCTATGTAAATCAAAGCAACTACTCTTATGTACCATGTTGAAATACATCATCCTTCCGCGAGAAAGAGAAAAAAAGAAACTATGCGCTTCAATGAAGTTTTGTTTGCTGTCGCTGGATGACTTATCTACATTTACAAGGCAATATCTTGAGACGCAATATCGAATTTGACATGAGACTATATTCATTAGGTAGGCTTCCATAAGCAATGAGTAACTCTTAAGGAAGCATACGCCACAGGACCATCCTAGGCCGTCGGAGAAAAAAAATTTCACCGATTTAATTATTTCAAATAAAAGGTCTAGTCGAACCATAGTCAAATCCAAAATATTAGGTCGTTTGCTTTTTACCTATGAAAAATTCGAGCTGCAACAATTATAAAGAAGCTATTTTGATATCTAAACATCGCTACCTTGAGGGCATGTTCAGTATTTTGACACTATCTCTCGAGCAGTTTGGCCATTTGAGCTCTAGATGTGGGAGAGGTTGTGTGTGGATATTGGTACCGATGTGAGTTTTTGAAAATAGAAGACCTATGTTCACATCTCACACCATCCACCTACACGATACTCACAGCCGCAGCTACACACCCACACCCTCCTCCGCTAAACGTACTTTTCAAAAACAACTTTCTCCTAATTATTTGAGTCAGAATGCGCGAAGCTCTGGTTTTGAATTTTCAAAAACGTTTTTAGTTTTACATACAAGAATGAGATTTGACGCAAACAGAAAGATAGGACAGAAATGGCTTATTTAATCTGTGCCAACCATGATTCTAAACTTTTTAATCAGAAATACCAAACTCCTATTATTTTAGAGTCATCACACCGTGTAATCCGCAGTGCCTTTAAATAGTGTCAATACACAGATGATGATTTTTATGATACTTGTATGGCACAGAGAAAATTTGTCGTGCTTTTCTGTTTACTCCTGAGAAGATTCAGTACATTCTGTATGTCTGTCATGAACACAAGAACTATTTGTTCAGAAGTTTTTTTACTGATGAGAAAATGATTGAAGATAATGCTTTTTGTAAAAGTTTTATTTATTTATTACCCTGAAAATCAGAAATATTTCTTTTAACTACAGACACTAGACATATATATATTTCATTTGTTTCATAAGCTTTATTTTTTTTTTGAAATAATATGGTTTTGATTTGTAGGTTTCAATCAAAGTAGCCTTCATTTTTAATTAGTTTTTTTTTTTTTACATATTTATTAACTCTGTACAATAATTTGTTATCGGAGAAGATCAATTGAGCGAAAAAATATGAATGTGTTGAAAGAAACCATTCATAATCAATGCTTACGGCCATACCACGTTGAATACACCAGTTCTCGTCCGATCACTGAAGTTAAGCAACGTCGGGCTCGGTTAGTACTTGGATGGGTGACCGCCTGGGAATACCGAGTGTCGTAAGCTTTTTTGCCATTTTTTTTTTGTTTTATCAAAAACATATTCTTTCATGTTTAGCTGAAATAATTGTTTATTTTATTTATTACTATACATATGATTAAAATAATTAAACCAATAGATCCGTTTTCTTTATTAAATTTTTCTCAATCCCATAGAAAAAAATAATTATATATAGCATCAAAACAAAAACTAGACACAAGTCTATTTAATAACAAATGAAACTAATAATAGAAAAATCATTTTCGTGCAATACCCGATACATGGGGACTTAAAAGAAATGGAATACCATGTGCAATAAATATATGTTGTGTTATACCACCATTAAAATGTGCTCGTTCAATATGTTCCGGAATATTTCTTGTTAATGAAATACCAAATAATAATTTATATATTGGTGAGCAAAGATATTGAATAGCAGCAAAGAAAATATTCGGTGAACGAATATTTTCCATATAGAGGAAAACACCACCCTGCAAAATACAAAAACAAACGATAAGATTTAATTAATCATCAAGTTTCTTCTGATTTACAGGCTTAAGAATGCGACGAATTTCACGTAATGTTTGATCAATATTTTTACAACAAGAAAGTGTTAAAGTTGATACAACTGCATCAACTTGATTATCTCGAATAACTATAAATTGAAAAAAAACATATATGGGGCTTTTTCTTTTGTTTTATTTTATTTACCAGAAATATTTTCTGCACTACCTACTAATAATTCTCTACATTGAACATTTGGATTTTGTCGAAGTGTTTGTGTTAAATATTTTTCAAATTCTCTCATTGGTTCAACACAAATAACTTCAACAACTAAGATAGAACAAAATAGAAAATTTCTATTAAAATAATATTTATTATTTTACGATGTGGAGGATAATACTGCATATTAGCACCATGTGCGGCACCAATTTCAACTACTTGAAGTCGTCTTCCTTCTTCTCTTATTTTCACATATTTTAATTCATCAAAAAGTTTTTCTTTTTCTAAATGAAGTGCTTTATTATAACGAAGAGAAAAATTCTTCGTTGATGACATATAATAACGTCGATAAGGTCCAGGTAAATATTTATAAAGTGTATAGGAACCAACACATACAACAATGACTGTTCCTATTTTTGTCCATGGCCAATAGCGATATTCTTGTTGAAATGGTGCAATTATATTAGATACAAAATTACGTATTGTACCTAATAATGTTGAAGGCTCTTCGGTTAAAATTGGTTGTGGAAATGCGTATATATTTGGTTTATTCATCTTAAAAATAACAAGACTTTTAAAATAAATAGCAGGTTTATTTCTATTATAAAAGAGAATAGGCGCACGGTTAAATAAGATAAATGTAATAAACTTTTTTTTCACTTTATTTCTCAAAAATTTTATTAAACGTTGGTCCAATCTCTTTTAATACATCTGCACTGATCATTGCGCGACCAAGTTTATTAAAAACTGCTTGACTCGCAGTACGAACAAGTGTTGAAGCAGCATAAGCTGCTACTTGAGCTGGAGTTAATTTCAATGAATAATGTGGACGTTCATTAGTTATCGATGATTTCTCTGAATTCGATGCTTGATATTCAAATTTGTCACGACTTTTTATTGCCCAATAATATGAAACAGCCAAAGCTCCAGCTAATAAATCTCCTTGACCCCCACAACGTCTTGGTGAACCTTCAATACCACATTGTATTGGTTCTTGATTATTTGGTGATGATATTGTATCTAAATGTCCTTTCATAAGAACATTAACATGAAGTGCTTCAGCTAATTTTTGGACTAATTTTTTTTTATCATCTTCTTTTTTTATTTCTTCAGATTTTGCACCAGATACTTTTTCATATAAGCGTTCAAATTCAATAATATTTGGTGTTAATATACAATTTTCATAATTATTTATAAGATGAGGTTTTTCAGTTATTAAATAAAGACCATCAGCATCAATAACAATTGGTATTGGTTGCTCTTGTTTACGTAAAATTCCAATTAATTGTTCAACATTTGATAAAATGTTTTCATCTCGTCCTAATCCAGGACCAATAACTAATGCATGTAAACGTGGTAACCATTTACCTATATCATCCGAAAAAGATTTTGAGTCCTAAAGAAATTTTAAAGAAAAATAAATAAATCTATTTTAACTTACAAGAAATGGATGTACAATTAGATCAGGTGAAAAACTTTTTATTGGTATAGCAGCATTTTTTGCACAAAAAACATGAACAAGATCAGCACCTGTTCGAAATGCTGCCATACTAGCAAAAATTGGTGCACCTGTATATTCTTCACTTCCACCCACAACACCAATACGACCAGCTTCACCTTTATGTGTATCAAATAAAAGTGGTGGTATGACTTTTCGAAATGATTGCAATAATTGTATATGTTGAGGAGCCATTGCCATCTAGAATATGATAGATAATGCGAAAAAAAAACAAACTATATAACTAATATATTCGTATCGTTATTATCGTTTTTATTCAAGAATTGTTTTTCATAAACAAAAAGAAAAATAAGAAGGACCGGGCTTATTATGTAAAGAAATAGAAAAATACCAAACGGAAAGAAAGAAAAAGAACGCATGCCGTAATCACTGGGCATATATTAAACAAAGATAGAAAATTCACAAATGTGTTGATTAATCGCTCGAACAGCACTTACAAGTCCCTGTAATTGAGCAAAAGAAAACCGACACCTCACTGTTCTAAAAATTAATAATAAGTATATTTAAGTAAGAATAAAGAACAGAATAATTGCATAAAAAAAATACAGAAGATACATAGAATGAGAAAAATAAAGAACGGCACCGAACGAAAAAGAAAAGAAAATATGATTGTATCATTGTTTTTATTCTTAATTAGCAACCAATTTGTACACTTGATATTGTGGCCCACCTGTATCAAACATAGCTATTTCAAAAACAAAAGCAAGACAAAGTAAAAGTTGTTCGGTATTATCTAGACATTTAATCACTTGGAGTACAGTAAAGTTCTAAAATAAAAGAGAAAAAAAAACATATGTCTGCTTTTATCGTAAACGAAAAGATTTCAATAATATACTTGAACAAATCTTTTAATTACTTTCATAAATGAAGCTATAAAAAAAAACCGTCCGACATAATCTACAGAATTTCTATCCAACGCAAAGTTGAAATATATACTGATCCTTGGATATGTTATGATATTTTATGATAAACCGACATTGTTCGATATATTTATTGAAATGAAAAGGAACCAGAGATCTGCACCGCGCCTAAATACGGGGGAGAGGCAGCGCAAATAGTTACGGTCAGAAAACCTTTTCAGTGAACTGCACCACCGTCCGTACCTTCCTAACTGAGTGAGATACGACTATTTCACGGAAAAAATGTTCGAATGAAACTGTGAAAGTCAAATTCATTTATTCAGGTTTTACAAATCGGTCTAAACCGTGGTGCAAGCTAAGGCTCTGCTACTCAAACTGCGGTATTTCTGTACTGCGGTTTTAGCTAGTTTGTAAAAACTGAATAAATGGTGTAATTTTTGCGGTTTATGGAAACCGCCGTTAATCGTGGTTTTTTTCGACACTTTTTTTCTTGGAATGTAAAAAACAACAGTTCATTCGCTTTTTTTTAAGAGTAACTGTTAGATTCAAAAGGCATCTCGATACTATAAACAAAGAAACACTAGCGCTGTTCTAATTTAGAAGATTTCATCAACATCAGAAAAGCCATGCTGTCTTCCAAATCTTTGAATTTATTTTATGGAAAAATATACAATTCGAATATCTATCATTATTCGTACTTCAGTTCGAAACAAGGAAAACTGCTAAAAATATTTTCAACTACTGTGACTAATTCTATCTATAGTAATAATCATGAAACACCACAATATATAGAATTTACAATATCTTGATGTATTCCAATATACTAAGATTCACTGTTATCACTAGATCTTGTACTTTTATCACTGATATTGTATAGGATTTCTATTATTAAGAGTGTCGATATTTTGTATTTTGTCTTCTTGTTTTCTTACCTCCAATACACTATTCATCATACAAGTATTTGGAAGAGAGCGAAGTTTTTGTATAAATTGTACCATATAATCACATAATGGTGAACGATCAAAACGGTAAATATATTGATCAAATTGATCACGTTGTGGATGTTCACTTGTTTCAACTTTTTCTAAAACTTGTTTACCAAATGAACATAAACGTGTTGAAATATGTATTGGACGATTTGAGCAGCTTGTATATGTAAATGATGTAAAAAATGATTCATCACGATTATTCATTGGATTTGTCATTGACGATAACATGGGTACATCAGCCCAAAATTTAATTAAAAAAAATGATCCATATGGATTACGTTCATATAAATCTTTTAAACCATCATAATGAGGAAATTTATCAAATATTTGATCAATTGATATTGTTTCAAAATTTTGAATACTTTTCATTTGAATATCATTTGCATGCAAACGAACTAAATCATGTTGATGCATTGAATATGCTTCTGATGCTGGATAAATTAATGATGGATGTGCTGTAGCTATTGCTCGATTGATTTCAACAAAAGCACTTAATTCATAAAGACGAAAATTTTCATCACCGATTATAGCTAATGGGGTTACAACTGAATTTGTTACCATTATACCTTGAGACATTGTTGAACCAGAAGATAATGGAGATGATGATGAAGCATTTGATGAACATCGAGATCGACCTGTAGCATGAGTATATATAGCAGGAGAATCTATATGAAAAGAAAATTTTATTATTATTATTTGTTATTATTTTATATACAAAAGCAATACTTCACATTAAAAGATAGATGAAAAAAAGAAAGAAAACATATAGGTTATTTTAATCATGTAATTAACACTTCACTGCTGATAGAATGTGCTTATATTTGTAATGAATCGAATCGTGATTGATTCACCAATTGTCTTCCTCTTTCATCTGAATACAGTAAATATAACTGTGAACTGTCCACAGAAAAAAGCAGCGCTTTTAGATCAGCTGCACATAGACATGAGGTAGAACAGTCGTTTTTTGGTTCGTTCCCAGCCTGAAAAAACAATTATTCTTGGTTGCGATTTATAAAAAAAAATTAGTTTCGGACTTGATCTAAAAAAACAATTAGTTCCGGTTTCGGTTCAAAAATTAGTCCAACGCTCTATCTTGGCTCGGGGTCCATATTGCCCATATTCATTTAGAACACATGAATTATGACAATATGACATTAGATATAAGTTTCGTACGATCATGAAAAGTATTGTCTCCAATGAAAAAGCGTTGGTCCTGTTCCTCATCGCGATCCATATCTAAGTGCACGACTGTGCATGTAGATGTAGAATACTTGAAGTACTATTCTTGCTGCATATTCTATGTTTTTTTTAAAGATTAATTATATAGACGTTTAGGTAACATGATCTATATTAAATTCAATGACTTTTATTGAATCAATTTCGTATGATACTCATAAACTGCACGATTGATTTTTTTATGCAGTTGAACTAATATACTGCTTTCTATTCTATAGATAAAATGACTGTTTACTTGGTATAAAATGTGGCGGAACTGAATTGGTAATTATATTTGGTATTGTAACGTTGGATTTATTATTTGATGTTATCCTTTTGGTTGTATTTTTTTTAATATTAGGTGTTTGAGAACATGAAAATAATTCGTCTTTCGTTTGGAATTGATCTATATTCATAGTTGATGATTGAACAGGTTTCGTTAAATGTTCATCAATTGGAATGGGTTGAAGGAGATTCTTAACTGGACTAGGTGTCTTTTTTTTCTTTTGTACTTCATTATCTGATGATAATGAATCATTATCACTATTAATTTGTTCATTATTCATTGAAACAATTTCAGCTGATGTATATTGTTTTAATCTTTCAAGTATAACTTGTTGTGCAACTTTATCATTACGTAATGATTGTAATTCTTTTGAACGACGTTTAGCAAGTACTTGTAAATGTGATGATACTTGTTTACGTGTACGTGTTTTGCCCGTACGAATTTTAATATAACGTGCAACTAATTCATTACGTCCATACATTTTTCCTTCTTCAGTCAAAATTATTTTTCGTCGTCCACATGGTGGATATATAGCAAGTGCTTCAAGAAAACTTTGTTCAATGTCAGCACTCCATATACCTTCAGCTTCATCAACTGTTCCATTATTTGTTGATGATGATGGTATTGGAAGATTATTATCTATTTTAGCTTTATCCATTTGTTTCCTTTTACTTATTCGAAAAAATCATATACATCTAGAAATACTAAATAAACAATTCACGATAGATAAATGTTTTTATTTAAACGATACACAACGAAACGAAACAAAAAACAAAATTAAGATGTTTATTTTTTTTTTGTACATGTAAGATAATTAAAAATAAAGTGGATTATAAGTTATCCAATGAGCTTTATTTTTTTCTTTCTGTTTAGCAGCATCACTTGTTGTAAATAATGATTTATATAAAACGGATGTAGTTGGATCTTGTTGAATGGATGTTTTCTCACTGGTTGATTTATTTGTTGAAACTACTTTTGATGTAGAAACTTTGCTTGTTGATACTTTTTTATTTGTTGTTGATGATGATGACGATGGAACATCAGTATTTGCTGTTGAATCTAGAAAAAAAAACAACAAAGAGTTTAGATTTAAAAATGCAAAAAATATTCTAAGTAAAAAAGTGAATTTTGTTATCAAAGACGATTCTAAACATTCTGACAAGAGAACCCTTTCAAATGACTAATGACTTTTTCAGTTCGGACTGTGTATCTAACGTAGACTCTAGTAAGACATGAAAAATTCCAATAGAGTAAATCAACTTAGACCTTCTGTCCATGATTATAAATATTTTACCCGAATTTTAGATTATGGCACTGTATACATTAACAAACCAAATGATACTATTTCTATCTGAAGTTTTTCTCACAGATAGTTCTATATGTAAATAAAATGTGCTAAAAATTTGTATATCCCACAAACAATGCTAAGATTTTCTATTTTTTGAAACTTTTATATCTCAGAAAGGAAATATTTTTTTAGATGAAATCTTCCGAACATTCTATTCATAAATAGACCTGTTTGTGGACAAAATCTCAGGTCGAATTATCGTCATTCAGATTTATTGTTATATACGATGCCATATGCTTAAATTCCAGTAAAATGTCTTTGACCTTGAACAGAAGACCGAAGAGAATTCATCCTTTCAAGTTTCTTTTTTCATATCTTACTTGAGTCTATCTTCTACGTACAGAGTCCGAAACCAAAAGATATTGATCAGTTGAAAAGGTTCCCTGATGAATGCTGCTATTGGAAAATACCAACTTTATTATTTATCCTTTTCCTTAATCCATATAAAAAGTTTTATGATGATATCTTGAATTCAATTAAGA